AATTTTATTTTATTCAACAAATTAAATAAATATTTTGTCTTTAGTATTTTACTTTCAACCATTTTTATTAAAATTATTATTATTTAAATAAAAATGTTTTCTTTAGTTTTTTAATATAATTTTTATTACTTTTGTTATTATTATTAATTTTTTTTTTTTTGAAATATATAAATATGTCGCCTTCATATTTTACTTTCAACTTAATATAGTAATTATTTAAACAATTTAATCTTTATTATTTTTAATTTTTTTTTTTCATTTCTCTGTTTTTACTTTATTTTTTTCTTATTGTTTTTCATTTAGTTTTTTCCGGATCATTATTAATTTTATTTTTATTTTTAAGATTTTTAATTTTCATTATTGTCCGTATTATTAAAATATTTAAATATTTTTCTTTGAATTTTGCTTCAACTTAATATACCTAGTAACTATTTAAATTGATTGTTTCTAATTTTATTAAGACATTTCTACAAATTCGAACAAAGGTTATTTCAGCGTACACAAAATTTTTCGATTTCAAAACTAAAAATGGAACCGATAAAAAAGAAATAATTAAACAAAGCTCTATAACAAAATGAAATAATAATATTTACTAATAACTTTTAACAATGCTTTCGAATTTTCTCAGCTACCGGCATGAAACGATTTATTTTCCTTTGAAATATATACAAAAATTTTCTTTTGTCAAAATCAAATCTAAATGGAAAAATATCTTGGATTAATCGAAATAGCAAAAAAATTTTGATGTGTTAATCTTCATTTATTACCTCCATATAAGAGTTTTTAATGTTTTTTATATTTAAACTTTAATATTACGATATAAAAACCTTAAAAAATTGAGTTTCTAGCAACTTAATTTATATAAATTTTTTTAGTAAAAATAATCTTGAATTGAAGTTTGTCTACAGCACGGATTAAGAGGTTCTGTTTAGCTTTTTTGTAAAGTAAATGTAGCTACTTACATACATAAATTTTAATACATTACAATGAAGCGTGAATTTATTATGAATTATAAAATTAAAAGATAAACATCACAAAAGGACTTGTTAGTGGACAGGTTTCTTCAATAACCAAGCACTTAAGAACTTGTAAAATTATGAAGACAAAAATAATATTTACATTTAACGTGGCAATGCGGTCGTTATTTACCTTTGTTATGCCATTAATGCTGTTGGAGTTGATACATTTGATGATGGCGTTGTTGAGATACTTTTGCTGCATATTTCGTGTACAAATCAGAAGCATCATCAATGCGGCGGCTGCGGCCAACAACGAATAATCCATAAAGCAAAAGCCGAAAAAATGTCAGGTCGCTGTGCTGTGCAATGTTCGCGTACGACGTTTACTGTGCTGTCGCAGTTGGCAGCGATGACAGAAGAAGAAGCGAAACAGGTAATAATCCAATAATCCGTACACGCACACAAAAACATATACTCACACACACATAGATACACTTTTGAAAGTAGCTAAATTAAAGCACTAGACAACAAACCAACCAAAGATACTTTTATTTCATTTTATTTTGATAGCATTTCTCAAAAAAATTTTAATATATATTTTTATAAGATCATTTGAAATAATTTTTATGACATAAATGCTACAAAAGAGCATATATTTTACTGCTCAACACTGCTTATGGCTACTTACTTTTCTTCTACTTTTTTTTCACTTAAAATACTTCACAATTTTACAAATTCATATATTTTTTGTTATTCTTGCTGCCACAATGGAATGCAATGCAAAAGGGATATCTGCATGCATGCAATTTTCACTTTTTCGAAATTTTCACAAACACATTCTTGCATAAACACGTATACGAAAACGTAAATTTCATTTCACACGCAAAAAAAACAACATATTTTCCTGGTTTCGTTTAAGGATTTTCTTTCCTACTTCACTATTTTTCACCCGTTTTCCTTTTTCACTTAGATTTTCCGTGACGGCTCGACGGCAACCTTCTTCGCCGCTGCTTCGTATACTCGCGCTGGCTCGTGGAGTACACAAAATTCTTGTTTTGCGTACACTTTTCTTCCACTCCTTCGCTTATCTTACCGATTACTGATTTTTTTCACATACAAATCTCAACTCAACTGACGTTTGTAAACTTTCTGCTGCACTTTGATTATGAATTGAAAATTTTCCGTTTGTTGAATTCCATTTATTGGTATGGGAAGTATTAAATTTTCCAAACAAATTGGACAATTTTACAAATTTTCAACCACCACTTAACACGGCTCCACACAATTGTTTCCGCCGTAATTATAATACACTCCACTACGTCCGCGTCGATTGTCGGACGAATGTAAACTGTTCAATACATGTTTCATTTTGAATGCATACTTCAAAAGTGCAATATTTATATTGCTTTAATTGGCCGTTTATTTTTAAAAGCGAATAAATTGAATATTTTAACATAATTATATCACATATTTATGACAACAGAACAAATTTGGTAAAAAAAAATAAATAAATTCTTTAAAAATTGTTATATTTTAAAAAAAATTATGGATTAAGAAAATAGCAACACTGATAGGAGATGTGCTATTGTGAATGCATTATTTGCTGTCAGCTGTCGTATGATCGCGTTGCCAATTACAGTTATGGCAGCGCAAGTAAAACAAGGGGTGCCTTGAATACAGAAAATGATGTAAATGGAAACAGGGAAAGTTATTTGAAATAATTAATAAAGCAATTCAACGATATACATTGTGAGGTTCTTAAAGGACTGTCAAAAGTTTTTCAAATTACAATAGAAAATTTTACAGCAGAAAAAATATGAAATGATAAGAGAGAAAACAAGTTAACAACAAAGGCACTGGTAAATCAAATCAAATAGCTTAGATATTTCATTGCATTTATTGAGTGTATTAAAATGTTGTTGTACTCTGCACGCATACATGTTCATATTTTACCATTTTAAGAAATTCATAAAATGGTGCATAATAAAATTAAATATTATCATTTTGAATATTTGTATTTGCGTTTACAAAAAACTAGCGAAATGCCTGTGTTAGCGGGCACTCTGTTCTGGCATGTGTTGATTTTAGAAGCGGAACCTGTGTACACCCTGTGTTCCATGGTTTTACACCATACAAATCTGCAGAAATGCAGAAATTATAAAATTATAAAAGTAACGGAGTTAATTTTTCGTTTCCCGTTGAAAATTTCGTAAAGAATTTCAGCAAAATCGTGCAAAAGTTAATCCTTTGGCTAAGTTCACCGAAGTTTTTCGAAACACACAAAAATCGATTGATTATTAATTAGTATGTGGCTAAAGAAACCATCTCAAAAATAAAGGAAAAACACACGTAGAAGTCGATAAGAGACTTTTACAATATGAAGACTTCTCTGTTTTGAGGTATTTAACCAAAACAACTTAAAAATGCAATGAACGGTAGAAAATTGAGATCAAAACGTCTGCTCAAATTCGTCATAAAGCAACGTACAACGTGTACTGATGGTGATGGATCGGTTGGCAAATTTAATGAAGCGTATGCTATTGGCTACCTGGAAATTTGTAGGAAAATCCATTCAAAAATATTAAATGATGTCCAAGTATTTTCTGATGGTTTAATTAATTTTGTTTATTATATTTTAATATATTTCCATATATAAGTTTGTTTGAAGTTATTGAGCTAGACTTACACCCATTCTTGTTTCTATTAGACATTTCATAAAACCTTAAGCCTATGTTTAATCGAATTACTATCTACTCCAATATACATACAAACACACACACATGAGACATTATTTTTCAAAGTGGACGCCAACTTTGTGCTGCCGTTTTCTATTTCCTTCAAAATCGTATCAGTGTCGAATGCTAGTTCCATATTTTATTTTATTTTATTTTATTTTATTTGAGTCATGTATTTTGTTTTACGCAAAAGAAAAACATACTTTCATATTAGTTATTTTAGTTTTTTATTTATTTACTTTAATTTATTCTATTTTATTTTATTCATTTTAATTGTTTTTTTTTTATTTTATTCCTTTATTTCGTTTGTCTATTTAATTTTATTCATTTTAAATTATTTTATTTTATTGCATTTCATTTTATTTTTTGTAATCTAATCCAATTTTAAGTGTTTTCTTTTTATTTAATTATTGTATTACATTTCATGTTATTATATTTAAATTTTTTTATTATATGTAACTTAATTTGGTTCACTAATAATTGTAATTATTTAATATATTATATTTTACATGATATATTTTATTCTAGGCTATTTTGTTTTATTTTATTTTAAATTTAATTTAATTAAAAGTACCAGTGTTTCTAATTTTCAATTTTATTTTATTTTAATATATATTAATTTTAAATTATTTTTCAATTCATTTTATTTATATTTATTTTTATTATATTTTACTTAAAATTCTTTTATACAATCGAATTGAATTTTTATTTATTTCATTTTATATTATGTTATTTTCTCGTATTAATACTTTATTTTATATTATTTTATTAATATTTATTTTTATATTTTCTTTGATTTACTTATTTTAATTTTGATTATATAATTTTATTATTAATTTCAATTAATTTTATTTTGTATTTTTTTACCTTGCTTCAGTTTTTTTAATTAAAATAAGTTTATTTTTTATTTCATTTTATTTTGTTATATTTTTTATTTTATTATATATAATTTAATATAATTTAATTTATTATGTTTTAGTTTATTTTATTTTTATTTTTTTTCATTCCATTTTGTTCCTCCATTCTATTTTATACGTTTTTTTTCGTTTTGAATTTTTTTATTTTGTTTTATTTTATTTCATAATTTTTTATTTTATTTCATTTTATTTTATTTTATTTTATTTTATTTTATTTTATTTTATTTAATTTTATTTACTTTAATTTAATTTAATTTAATTTTATTTTATTTTATTTTTTTTTATTTTTTTATTTTTTTTTTATTTTATTTTTTTTTATTTTATTTTATTTATTTTTTTTTATTTTATTTTATTTTATTTATTTAATTTAATTTAATTTAATTTTTCTTGTTTCTTGAATTTGAATACTTCAAATTACAATTAAATAATGTCTCAGGTGTATGTATGTATCTGTGTTGTACAATGTACAAAGCAGCGCTTTTACCCGTACTCTTAAGAACTATTATTGCATTCGTATCGACTTCTGTTCGCAAACACATTTTCGAATTCTTCATTGTTATCTGCATATATGTATGTGTATACGTGTACATATGTGTGTATACTAAGCGAATTAAAAATAAACTAATTAAAATTATTAGCATAATACTAAGTAAATGTAATATCACTAGACGAATGCGTTTCCCACAGCTCCTCCGTGGTGCCCACTCTACGAGCTGTTTAATGGCTAGGAGGCGTGGCAGGCATTGAAATGCCAAAAACGCAGAATAAATTAAAAGCGAAATTCAGTATGGAATTTCATAGAACACGTTCGCCGAGCGATGGTGTGCGTTGTACTAGCAATGAGGCGGTCTTCGGTAGCGTTTCACTGAAGTCTGTGCTCAAATCGGCGGTGTGCTTGGAAATTAAACTCGCGTGGGCCACTTTCGCGGCAGTGCCTGCATTCTGTTGCTGTTGTTGTTGCTTAGCAGCATCGGCTTTTGCTAAAGGCTTTTGTGCAATGCCATGTGGTGCCGCATCTGGTACAAGACGACGCAACAGACCACCTACACAACCCCAAGGGAAGGTCCTGTTACAAGGAAAAGAGGCTTAGCATTATTGTTATACGAATGTAAGGCCAATCTCTTACCACTTCAGCGATAGCAACAAGCGTATGTAACCGGGTATAATAGTGATTTTCTCATTCTTCTTAATTGCAACTATGATGCGATCGGCCACATCGTTGGGGTTCAATGTGGGCACCCATCTGAAAAGAGTGAAGAGATTTCGTATTAACATCTGTTCGTCGGAACTGGTGGGGTAAAGGAGTGCACCTGGCGTTAACATCATCAAACATGCCGGTTGCTTGTATGAAGAATGGGCAAATGCAGGTCGTTTGAATGTTACTGTGGCCGAGCACATCCAATTCCAAACGTAGAGCCTCATCAAATCCAACCTGTGGAGGAAGAAAAACTAGGAGTTAGGAAAAGTGATATAAATATAAAGATATTTGTACTTACAGCGGCAAATTTGCTGGCACAGTAGTCGACGAGCTTGGTAATGCCCACGTGACCGGCTAAAGACGCTATAGTTGCAATGTGTCCGCGCTGCTGTTCGATCATTTTTGGCAGAAAAGCTTTGGTGGTCTGTGGAGATATTTGAGAGTAATTAGACACTTATTCAGTATTTGAGGTATGGATTTGTGTTGAAACCCACCCAGAAATGTGCCATAACATTGACATTGAATGAACGTTCGATAAGATGATCCGGTGTATCCAGCAAATGACGACCTGACACAACACCAGCATTGTTGATTAGTAAGGTGACCTAAAGTGAAGATATATATTTAAAAAAAATTTCAATGTGTCAACATAAAAATATAATAACATAAATAGAATATAATAAATAAAAAAATAAAAAATTAACATATTAAAATAAAATAAACTAATATAAAAGAAATTAAAAGAAAACAAAAATAATAGAACAGAATAAAAGGGAAATAAAAACAAACTAAATCAAATTAAATAAATTTAAAAACAAATAGAAAAAAAAATAATGTGTAATAAAAAAAAACTAAGTTAAACAATAAAAATAAAATAAATTAATATAAAATAAAATAAAATAAAATTAAATTATATTAAATTAATATAAAATAAAAATAAAATAAAATAAAATAAAATAAAATAAAATAAAATAAAATAAAATAAAATAAAATAAAATAAAATAAAATAAAATAAAATAAAATAAAATATAATAAAATAAAATAAAATAAAATAAAATAAAATAAAATAAAATATAATAAAAAACAGCAAACTTAATAAATTATAATATGATAAAACATCAAGTAAAAATAAAAAAACATTATACAGAATTAAGGGAAATAAAGTAAAAAAAGTAAAAATAAAATAAATTAATATAAAATAAAATAAAATAAAAAATTTAAATAAAGTAATAAATAAAATCAAATATAATAATAATAATACAATGAAATTAAATTAGCCTAAAATAAATAACACGAAATTAAAAAATTAACAAAATGAATTAATATAAAAGAAAAGAAAAAATAAGATCAAAGTAATAAAAAAATGAAAAATATAAATTCATATAAAAAAAATAAATCAATATTTAATTAAATAAGATCCCATAAAATCAAATTAAATAATAAATGAAATAAAAAAAGAAAGCAAAAAATATAAGCTAAAATAAAACAAATTAAAATAAAAAATAAAATAAAATAAGAAATAAAGTTAAATAAAAAAGTACAACAAAATGAAATTAAATTTCATTAAATAAATCAAGAAAAAATAAATAAAATGAGATCAAATTATAAAAAACGGGAAAACATATTTAAAATTGAAAACTTTACATAAAATAAAATTAAATAAAAAAATTAAATAAAGAAAACAAAATAAAAGTTAGTAAATTAAATAAAAATAAAATAAAATGACACCAAATTATATAAAACGATAAAAATTAAAATAGAATAAAATTAAAAATAAATAAAATAAAATTAAATTAAACAGAATAAAATGAGTCAAATTAATACAAAATAAAAGGAAATAAAATGAGATCAAATTGTATAAATTGAAAAAACTAAATTAAAAGAAAAAAATTAAACAAAATAAAAAATAAACTAAAAGAAAGCAAAAGTAAATAAATTAAATTAAATTATAGTAAGTTATATAAAATAAAAAAACTAATAAAATAATATATAATTAAAAAAAATAAAATTAACTTAACATTACATATATATTATGAGAATAAAATTATATAATATAATAAAGTAAAAAAAAAATGATTCAAATTTATACAAAATAAAAGGAAATAAAATTAAATAAAAGAAAAATATATAAAATATTTGGTTTGATTGTCATCATATGCGCCAAGGAATATTTAATTTGCACAAATCGTGTTTAATTAATGAATACCAATGGCCTAACTTTATTATATTTTATTTGATATTTGAACACTTGAAAAAAATTTCAAATTGACATTAGTTTGAAAATTCACATACAAATAAATACAAATTATCACTTCAGTAAAGTGCAGTTAGTTTATTTTGTACTACTACCGCAAACAAGTTTACTGCATTTTTGCCATTTTTCTTAATACTTTTTAGCTAATATTTAATGCCAATAAATATTAAAGCAGCTGACTGTACAAATACAATTTAGAAACTTCCAACACGTTCTTCTAGAATTTGTTTGCAGATGCATAATAAATACAAATCTTTTGCTTGGCAAATGTCTACAGCTGCACAGGCAGCTGTACTGGGCGTGAGTTCATGGCGCATGCGTGCCGGTCAAATAACGATATTGATGTCAAGGCGATCGTTTTCTATGCTTTTTGGCAACTTTATATTAATTAATTAATTTTTTTTTTCCTCAGCATAATTTTGTAGTGGCGATTATTGCGTAAACAACTTTACACAGATTTAAAAAAATTTTTTTTTTTTTTTGTGAAAAAAATTAGCGAGTGGACTTCAGTATTTGCTATTGCCAACTGTGTTTACAGTGTGCAGGTTAAAGTATCAAATTTTTCACTTCAATGCGCCATAAAGTTTATATATTTTCAAAGTTATGTAATTATTTAGAGTTATTTGGGTACAAAGTTTAATTGTTTATGCCTTTACTTATTCTTTATTGCAGACTTTGGGCTTGAGGGAAGAAAAACAAGTTTTCTAATTTATTTAAAGTTATTATTTTGCTTTGAAAAATACAAATGTTGAGTATTATTGCTTAGTCAAATATATGTACATACATATACAATGGTTTCTGTTAAAAATATTGACACTCCACTAGTCTCTTCCCAAGAATAATAAAAAGGTTCTTCTTAAGACGACTTGCAAGCTCATCAAACTCGCACAGCGAGTCGATACTCACTATTAGACCGTTAAAAAAAAAGAAAAATAATATGTTCCCAAGTATAGTCTCCCACTTTTTCTATACTCTAGATCAGAGTCAGATCCTTTACTCGGTAGCTTTGATATTAGCAAGCAATTATCTATTACAGCAACATTTTCCACACTCTCAATGCCTCTGGAAAGCATGATTGGCGATAATGTTTATCATTTCGTCATGCAATTCAAGCACTGGCAATTATGTATGTGAGTAAACCTAGTCTTCAAGTAATTAAATTTGATGGGTGTCCAAGTTTGTTGTAGTTAATGAAATTAAATCTCGTTTTTATGGCAGTAAATATGTTCACTTAGTAAGTGCGGTAAGCGTTACACTAAAGTAACAGCGAGTTGGGGAAACAAGTTCAAGTTGCAAATGATAAAAACTTCGAATGTACATATACTCGTATATGTATGCATGTATGAATATATGAATGAATGTTGTTTGTATTTTTATATTTAAAATAGGGTCACAAGTCAAGTTGAAGTACAAGCGCACGATATCACTCGAGTTGGTGTCACGAGTGTGACAATTAATGCCACTACTGGCATATGTATGTATGTATGTGTGCTCACATATATTTCAAGGTCAGTGAATTATTAAGCGAGATTAGAAACAAAAATGTTGAATGATGTTTCTCTGTAAAAAGCTCGTATGTACGTATATTTTTACAAGCATTTTCTATATTATATGATTATACATACATACAATGAATAAGAAATAAAATAAACTAAAATTAAATTAAATCAGTTATAATAAATTTTATATACAATGATATAATTGAAGAATTGAATCAAAAATCAATCAAAATTAAATCAATTAAATAAAATTTTATGTACAATGAAATAAAGAATTGGGCTTAATATAAACGACTAAAAATGTATAGAATTTTGGAACAACCGTTGTATTTAAGGAAAAGAAAATGTTTTTATTTTAGCTTCCAATTTAAGTTTCTTGCAATAATTCATATATTGATAAAAAAATGCATTAATGTTTTTTCATAAATAATTCAATTTTCTCTTTCAACACTTCGCGTTCCATTTACTTACATCGCCAATTTCATTTCGTATCACTTCAGCTGCTTTGTACACTTCTTCTTTTTTGGAAATGTCAACAGCATATCCCTTGCAGTAGCCACCTTCCGATTCGACAATTTCGATGGTCTCTTTGATACCTGAAAATCGAAGCAAAATTAAATGCGATTTTTGTATAGAAAGATTTAATTTCTATTTAATTATGCAAAAAAAAAAATATTATAAAATGAAATAAACAAAATAAAATGTTAAAAATTAATATAGAATGTTAAGGAAATTAAATGAAACCAAAAAAAATAAAATGAAACAAAATAAAATAAAATTAAATTACATTAAAAAAAATAAAATAAAATAAAATAAAATAAATTAAAATAAAATAAAATAAAATAAAATAAAATAAAATAAAATAAAATAAAATAAAATAAAATAAAATAAAATAAAATAAAATAAAATAAAATAAAATAAAATAAAATAAAATAAAATAAAATAAAATAAAATAAAATAAAATAAAATAAAATAAAATAAAATAAAATAAAATAAAATAAAATAAAATAAAATAAAATAAAATAAAATAAAATAAAATAAAATAAAATAAAATAAAATAAAATAAAATAAAATAAAATAAAATAAAATAAAATAAAATAAAATAAAATAAAATAAAATAAAATAAAATAAAATAAAATAAAATAAAATAAAATAAAATAAAATAAAATAAAATAAAATAAAATAAAATAAAATAAAATAAAATAAAATAAAATAAAATAAAATAAAATAAAATAAAATAAAATAAAATAAAATAAAATAAAATAAAATAAAATAAAATAAAATAAAATAAAATAAAATAAAATAAAATAAAATAAAATAAAATAAAATAAAATAAAATAAAATAAAATAAAATAAAATAAAATAAAATAAAATAAAATAAAATAAAATAAAATAAAATAAAATAAAATAAAATAAAATAAAATAAAATAAAATAAAATAAAATAAAATAAAATAAAATAAAATAAAATAAAATAAAACAAAATAAAATAAAATAAAATAAAATAAACAAAAATAAAATAAAATAAACAAAAATAAAATACAATAAACAAAATAAAATAAATGAAGCTAAAACTAAAACTAAAAGTAAGATATAAAAAAATGAATTTATATAAAATAAAATAAAGGAAAATGAAAGAAAACAACATTCTCCACACCGGGAAGCTGCTCGAGAGAATGGCTCAGCCTAGGCTAGAAGCAGCTTTAACTAGCGTCGCTAGTCTTTTAAAAAGGCATTATGGATTTAGACCCAAAAAATGGACACGAAGCGCCATTGAGAATGTCACTAGCTCAACGATGTTTCCACAAATCTATAAAGATAGCGTTTGGCTACATTAGATGTCCGAAATGCCTTGAACAGCGTCCAAATTAAATATTCCCAATTACCTAAGATTAAAGATAAGAAGCTATCCCAATGACAGAGTTCTCCTATTGTAGACCACAGATGCGCCCAAAGCCTAAAGATCACGTTTGGTTGCTGCACAGAGATCGATACTCCGTCCTCATCTATGGAATGTAAGTTCTTTTTCTTTATTGGCGTTGAAACCGCTTACGGAATGTAATCGTAAGTTACAACGACATATTAAACCTCAAGATGTCGGATGACACCGCAGAGATACTAAACCAACATCAGAGGCTACTGATGCCAGCGTCTATTAGTTTCCTGCTTTATGGCGCAGAACAATGGTTGAACCCATTAAAGAGAGATAACCGCCGCAAGCCAACGTATATCCTACAGCTGCATTAAGCTTCCGTAACAAGTGAAGCTGTTCTGATGATAACCGGAAGTGTTGTTTAGAGCTGCTGGCACTTAAAAGGAAGAAAGTTCGGGACCTAAATAATCAAGGAATATGTGTAAACACAATAAGAGACGACATAAAAACGGATACCCACAATCGATGGCAAAGCCATAGGGAACTTGAAACTCGTGATAGATGGACGGTCGGGCTAATTAAGGAATATAAACTTTGGTCTTATAGAATATTCAGCGGGGTGAACTATTATGGCACGCAGATGTAAACTGGGCACATACATAAAATAGGCAAAGCGGAAGAGCCGTCACGAAAATAGTACTGTGCACACATTTTCTAAGTGCACAGACGACAAACGGAACGCGAGGCACCGGAGAACTAAAACCTGGTACTGCGCAAAAAAAAGCAAGATCTGAACGCAGGTACTGAGATGTAAATCTCAAGATGAGAACGCGATCCTGAGGCAATGCGGTGCCAGGTGGGCGACGGTTATTCCGAGGAGAGTTTTTTTCAGTGATCTGCCAGTGGCACATACCAAAGATGTGACTGCACAATGATGATGCGGAAGGCATTTTTCTACGCCTCATCCACAAAAAAAAAAATTATGTATTATTTTAGTAAATTAAATTGATTTTATTATTTTAAAAGAATTTTTTTTTTATTTTATTTCACTCTAATTTAATTTATATATATTTTATTGTGTTTTATTTATTATATTATTTTTTTTTATATATTTATTGCTTTTTGTTGTATTTTATTTCACTTTGATTAATTTTTTAAAATTATTTTTAATTTTTATTATTATATTTTATTTATAGTTTTTTAATTATTTTATTTATATATTTTAATTTATATGGAAAAATATCGAGACGCAAAACTCACAAATTGGAGGAGGAGCTTGGCCGATGTTCGCTTCAGCGGTTAAAAAGCACCAATTATATATGTATATAATTTTCTCTTTTTTTCATATATTATAAATATAAGTTAATATTACTTTTTGTCTTAATTCCCTCTTACCTTCCTTATTAATGTCCCACACAATCACTTTGGCGCCCAGTTTTCCCAAACGTTGTGCGAGTAGTCGACCAAGTCCATTACCGCCACCTGTTATTAATGCGATGTCTGTATTTAGTTCTTTTTCAGGATAGCCAAAGGTTATATAGTACAGGTCCTGAAAATGAAAGTTTAAAACGGAATAAATTAGTCAATTCTACATAAACTTTTTTATGTTATAAAAAATTAAAAATAAAATTTTTTTTATTATATATTAAAATTTTTTTTTCTTAAAATTGTACTTAAAATGATATTTCTAACAGCTTATGCGAAGACAACATATGCTAACTGCTTGAAAAATATATTAAGGGCGATTTGGTTTGATATTATTGCATTTTTCCGTACAAAGTTTGTCGCTTAAGTCTTTCGTTTTGTGCAAAATTAGCATACTCGTATGTGAGAGCGATGCTCTGTTGAACGCACAAATGACAGGAAGTATTTTTTAGCAAATAATCAAAAAAAAATATTTAATAAAAATTATACAATTTTGAATTGCATATTGCTAATCATTATTTTCTTTGTTATGCATACAAATATATATGTATAATTATAACCAAATGCAGACAGTACAGATGACACACTTAAGAATTCATGCTTCATTGATGACAAGTAAAATGTGAATGTGGGCCGATTGATTTGCATATAGCAGCTGAAGTAAATGTTTCTTCTTCTCTAGTGCCTTACATAATTTGCATAATTGAAAGGTTGTACACGTATTGACCGGGGGACCGGCGAATAAAAAGAGTGGTTGAAAAATTTTCGCTGAATCAAGATACAGTGTTTTATGCACAATGCGTGACCTTGAGCTGCGGCGAATACACGCAGACGTTACGTAGCAATTGAGCCACATTTTTTACTTTGTGTATATACGAAACATACATACATACGCTCATGATGAGCACACATTTTTGTTAGTATTTAATGAAATTTATGTATATATTTTTGTTTGAATTGAGTTAACGACTCGTGACATATGCATGTCAACGTTCATTTTCTGTCTGCGGCATACATACATACATACAGTAGGCAGTTGTAATTTAAATCGGTATAATTGATAGTAGTTTTGTATATTTGTATGTTGGTAATTTGTACTTCTCATGTGTGTAATTGTCGTATGGTAAGGAATTTCTTTGGTTGATTTTTATTTTTTCTATTTTCTTTTGTATTTTTCTGCCTTTCATATTTCTGTTGTTTCTACTTACTATAGCGTGAACAAAATTTACGTTTTATTATAAACAAAAAGCCAAACTAAATGGCAATGTTTTGGTTTTGCTCCGACTTTAGCGGAAATTCAAACACGCGTTATTTTTTTTTTTTTTTTTTTTTTTGAAAAATAATAAGAAAGTATAAACCTCAAGCAGATGCGGTAATACGAAACAAATTAGATAGCGCAGGCGAGCATAAAAATATCTATATATATATATATATATGTGTGTCTATATAATTTAACAAATATTATGTAGATATGTATGTAAAATGTATGTCTCTGGACCCTTACATGTTTTGTGTTGTCTTCTGAGTTTTTTGGTTACTCTCAAAAGTGGAGCATTTTCCAACTTGCGCGACATAAATACAGCAAATATGTGTACTCGTATATAGCAATGATACAAAAAGCACACTGAATCAAGTACCTAAGCCAAATATAATGACATGAGGTTTTTGGTGTGTTATTAAATCTGCTTAAATTACCATGAAATTTGATGTTTTGTAATATTTTCAACCACAGGAAGTTGTAATAACATTTTTATATATACTATTTACTCTTTGGTATATATATATATATATATATATATATATATATATATATATATGCTGTTAAAATGCAAATGTTGTAAGCTATAATCATCTGTCTTTTTTCAATATTAAACATAAGGAGCTCAAGTCTTAAGTTAGTCTAAAAAAAAATCTGCAATATTTTTTTATAAGTTCATCGCCTCAAATTGGATTTATTTCAGAAGCAGATTACTCTTACTTCTTTAAGTTTGTGTAGAATATTTTTGATTGTTTTTTATTTTATAAGCAGCCCAGTATAGGGGGTTGGCGGTATAGAAAGGATTATGGGTTCTAATACCGGCCAAACTGAGATCCAAAATTATTGTAGATAAGTAAAGAAGAATTTATCTGTTAGGTAAATTAAAGTTTTCCCGCTAAATTACTTAAACACTCGATTTTAAGTCCTAAGCGCGATTAAAAAAAGAAGGTCTGTTATATGGCTGGACCTATGATTAATGCTGTTAGAGCTTTCATACAAGGTGATTAACAAAAGTTCGTACTGTGGGCATTCCAAGTTCGAATTCTGTTCGAACAAAGGTATCTGGAAAAAGAAGTCTGTTGAGGAAAAGTTCTACCGTCCAAAATTATTACTGTAATTTTTTCACTATTTTCTACACTACGTGTTGGTCGCTGGGTCTAAAGATAGCAGATGCGATGAGTACGCTCAGTAGGCCGATTATGTTGATCATAAGTTGAGCGAAGCGCGCGAAACGTGAATTTACGCAATAAAGTTGTACCATTTGCTAGCGTTGATCGTCTTTGAAGTCTTTGATCTGTCCAAAAACGGCTAGTAAAAAAAGTATCTCTACTTGGATCACCCATTAGGTGGCCTTTTGCGAAAAAGTCACATTCATAGCTTTTTTTCACTTGATTTTTTACGGAAGGGGACTGATCTATTTGAAAAAATATACAATATTTATGGTTCGCTTTAGTTAAGTTTTTGGAAGATTTGTCTAAATGGAATACTTTTGCTCTCTCTCTCTAGAAATGTACCAGAGGCCTGGAACCAAGTTTGATTTGCTCGAAATATAAATAATAATTTTTTTTTAGGGCAAAGGGATCACTGAATGTTCGACGAAAATTAGTATGATTCGGATATAAGTATAGATCGTATATATGTATGTTCGCTTCGCATTTTGATCATGGCTGCGGATTTTATCTGCGGTTGTACGTTACAAGCTTTTCTTATAGGCTTTACTTGAGTGTGAAGAAGCCTAAAATCGGATGGTGTTTACTCCGAGATATTTATGTTAATATTTTGAAGAAGTGCCTCATACCCACAAATAAGTTGTGAGATCCATTATAAATTTAAACAACTTGAAATAGTCAGTTAGTTGATGCTTAATTAGGAGTTCTAAGCGTTCTTTGTAATAATAAAGAGGATAATATTTAGACAAAGTACAGAAAGCTACAGCAATGTGTGGCCAGGTCAGCTAGTTACTTTAAAAAAGTTTCTTAAAACTTTCGCTTACATTTCACACTGCAATGAACATGACAATTGGTGCGTTACTCTTTTTAATATTTTTTTCCTTTCACTAGAACAAACATCAGTTGGAGTAATTTTTTTAAAACGCTTAAATAATATAAACTGAATTTTTAAGTATCTGCGCTCAGAAAAAAAGAGAAAAAAAGAAAAAAAAAACTTCTACGTGTGTTTCAGAATAAGACAAGTACAAAATGACCACAGCGCACTCACGCCAGTTCCGTATATTGCAGCAAAAACGTCAGATTTGCTTTGCTTTGCAACAATTAGCATTCGTCGCCTTCGTTGTCTTCATCGAATTCACACGAAAAATTACAATAATCTTAATAATAGATATTTTGTTTATTTTTATTGTTGCTTGAACATATTGTGTCGCTTCACAAAGGCGCTTGATTTAAAAATGCACGGACACGCGCCAACAAAGCCAAGCACAATACATACATATTAATGGCTGACATACGTGTGGGTATTATTAATATGACATAGACTTGCATAGCTACTTTAAGCGTGTACATACGTAAATACTTAGTTTTTTTTTCTATCTACAAAATATGTGTGGTCTGTAGAAAACCACAAAGTCATTGGCAGCTGGCACAAAAAGTACTTTAACTCAACATTGGCGTTAAAAAAAAAAAGTACGTAAATAACTCTTTTATAAACACATACGAGTGCTTTGTGCAAAAAAATATGCTTAAGCTGGAAAAAAATATTAAAAAAAGCTGAAGAAAAATACCTACATATATATATATATATATAAAGTTTTTTTTTTTTCAAAAGGGTGCTATATGGTAGCCACAGCGCTTATAAACAAACAAACAAAGAACTCAAAGCGTGACTTTTAAAATTACAAATACGTGTACATATATATATATATGGCAGGCGAACAGTAGCCCTTTTGAGTATGCAGTTCGTAAACATTAACAATAAACTGTGAAATGAAGAATAATAAAAACTAGAAGTTGACAGATTGGACAGCATTAAATTTTAATATCTTCATACGGTTTTTTTTTTATAATTTTTTTTTACGCTTACTTGTATTTGTAAGCGTGGTAGTTATATAGCTATGGGTGTGGTATACCAATTTTTGTATTTTTTTTTTTTTTGCTTATATTTTTTCTAAATGAAGCGCGCAGAGCCGACAATTATTTCTCATAGATTTGGTATATCTTGAATTGGAGGGCTCTTAAAAATGCCCAAAAATCCTCTTACTTTTTATATTTTTTTTTAAGTAAATTAAATTAAATTCCAGTTTTTATTATTATTTATTTTATTTAAATGTATTTTTTTTTTTTTTTTTTTTTTTTTTTAAAATTACCCTTTTTTTTTTNTTTTTTTTTGTTTTTATGAACTAGACCTGTATTTTGTACAATTTTTATTATTTTATGGTTCAAGTAAAAAGTTCGTTCGGTTTTTTTTTTTGAATTTTCAAAATATGATAAATTTGTGTACACTTGTCCGATTTAAGTCAAATATGCGCTGTTTTGTTCGTAAACTTATTACCAACGAGATGCCAGCTCCTTTATGCCCCTCTCGTAGATGGCTGCGTCCCTGTTGGCAATTAGTTCGCAACTCGTGTGAAGTAATCACTATTTGAACTGGTATATATGAACTAGTATTTAACTAGTATGAAGCTGATGCACAATGCCTGAAAGTTGGCAGTTCGTAGGACATCGCCATGTTAAAAATACCGGTTGCATAAATGGAAAATAGATGGCAGATGAACGAGTTTGTATAAAAATGTAAATTGGTTGGGTTCCAGTTAGGGACAAGTAATTTTTGCTGCAAGGATATAAGGTCTAGTAGAAAGAAATCTATTATTTTTGTAAAAAATTTTCAGCTTTATTTACCTGATTTATTTATTA